CACAAATTAGTTAGCATAAATCAGTTAAATGACGAAAAATTAGGTGTCTATTTACTTGTGACCACTCAATGTATATAGGTTTATCACTCAATCGTCTGTCTACCCTCAAGAAATATCTATATTCTCGACTTCAATGTATTGCACGAGACGTTCGAAAGTCTCAACATCAATGATTTATAAACACAATTTCCTACAATCGTCTGCGCTTAACTCTTATTATAACAAAAACTAAACACTAATAAAATATTCACTAACAAAAATAAATTAATCAATAATATCTAAACTAAGCAGACTTTTATATCATGACACACACATATATATATATATTGTGATTATTGTCCCCCAGTTGGACAAAAGTAAGTTTACCGACTTACAAAGCTTAAATCTAGGGTTCGATTTCTCACGGTGGAGAAAACATGTAGCTAATGTGGCTTTGTTTTCACATAAACAAATAAAAAAATTCTATAAATTAAACTTTCATCTTAAGATGTTTCTAATTGGGAAATGTTTCTTTCACTGCTTTTCTTTTTTACATGATCTTTGTTTGTGATACACAGGCAAATAAATAGCTACTATCATCAGTAGCACCTTGACGTCGAAGCAATGTACCGACGGGCCCCTCATATTGCTGGTCCCTAAAGTAATGCAAAAAAACTTATACATTTCTAGACCAATAGCTGATCGGTAAGTTGCTATAATAAAAGTACTCTATAACATTTTCTGGAATGTCAAAAGCTTATTTTTCCAACAAATCTGTTTATTATCAATGTTATAAAGCCCAGAAAAGTATTCATTGATACATAGGGATGGAGACTCGGTTTATTTTAAAAGTTATAACTTGCTTGTCTTACTCATGTAGTTAAAGAGGGCGTCAGTAAATTTTTCAGAGCAGCGGGAATAAAGACCACATGGTTGCTTTTACATTTCTAAAATAATGGTTAGTTTTTGTTGTTGATTTTTAAAGTAACAAAGTTCAAACCATTCTTTATTTAAAAAGGCTAAATTTTCAAATCTTACAATTCTTGTACTTTATGTAAGTAGGCTGAGACTTACTACAGCTCAGGATTTTCGACACAAGGAAACTAACTTAACTGTTTTAATGTTTAACATTAAATGTTTTACTTTTATTTTTAATGATTAAAAATAAAAGTAAAACAAGGAACCTTTTGGTCCATGTAGGCCGTCCTATCCATTAACTTGAATTAAACCCTAAAAATCAAAGCCTGTCCTTATCATTCAAATATTTATCAAGTTCTTCCTTAAAATCCCTTACATTAACTGCATCTACCACATCAAAAGGCAATACGTTCCAAAGCCCAAACACCCTGTGTAAGTGTGTTAATGTTAGTAAAATTACACTGTCTTAGCTGAAGATGACTCCTACCCTGCCAAAATTTATATTTATAGATGATGTATCAACGACGTTACCTGTTACTATGTTTATCTAAACTGTAATTGTAAACATAATTTGTATTAATATAATGAACAAGATAAACTTGTTAAACCTTACTTATCATCTGGATTGTCATGTGTATTTGAATTTTGAAACTGGATATGTTATGACCAAAAGAAATTTTTGCAGTTCATTTCATTAATCAGCTTATAACATGCCTTGTGTTGTTTAGAGCACAGTAGAATTCATAATACATGTATTTTAATTTTGTACTATTCATTTCAGTCTTCACCTAAAACTCATAAAAGTAAAAGGTCAGTATTTAAAAATATCAAAGCAGTAAGAAGTCTTTTGAACTATTATATATTTGGATTCTGAGTGATATATTTTCACATAGTTTTTATACTGTATAGAAATGTAAGTAAATATTCTAGTATTATTATGAGTGCGCTAATGATATTATAAAAAGTACTGTTTATGTTATGTATTTTCAATAAACTCAACACGTAAATATTGTTGAGTAAGCTGAAGGTTTAACTTCAAATATAATCTACAACATTGTTTCATGATTTTACAACAATTAATTTATGTCTCAAATGTAATCAATGAATGGTTATTTTCAAATTGCTGTGGCAAAAAAAAATAATCTTTAATATAAATTTGTTGAAGAACCTAATTATGAAATGTAAATTAAGACTCATTAGATAAAGTATCAGGATAAAATCCTGGTAAGAGAGAAAACACTTCTGCCAGGTTTGTTAAAAAAAATACCTATACATTTTATTACTGGGTAAGCTACTTGTTATGTAGTTAGAGTAATATTTCCTGATGTCATTGGTTGAATTATTTCATGATTAGTTTTTAATAATTTTTTGTAGTTCTTTTTAACCATAAGTGCATCTATGTGTAGAAAACAAAAGACTGAGAGCTGTTAGACATTGTGAATTTGTAAAGTATGTATAATAAATTCAGAGATGAAAACAGTAGGAAGGTCATGTGATCTAACCAACAAACAATCTTGCATTTATTAAACATACTTGTTGTTCCACAAGTAAAAAAACTGAACATTCATTAGTTCTTCACACTTATTAATAGGATGTTCTGTACTGAATTGGAAAATTACAGTAACATGTTATTATCTTATTTCTTCATGCGTAATTACTCTTTTCATAGCTTTACATGAAAATACAGCAAAAAGATAATTGATAAGATCACCTCTTATCCTTCATTTGTCAATAAAAAAAATCGTTACAGATCTTAACCTATTCTTGTAGGATAACCCTTTTATCACCAGAATCATCCTAGTAACTCTCCTCTGAAACCTTTCCAGTAATTCAATACCTTTCCATAGATAAGGAGACCAAAACTGTACACAGTATTGTGAGGCCTAACTAGTAATTTATATAACATCTTTGACTTTTAATCAATATGTTTATAAAAACAACCTAAAATTGTATTAGTTTTACAACGAGCATCAAGCACTGCTTCAATGGCTTGAGTGACTTATTCATTACTAAGCCAGTATCCTTTTCTCCAGTTTGCTGTGTATAGCAGAGTTTCTTCCCATCTGTATTAAACGTGATCCAAATTATGGTAATTTAAATACATTACTTTAAACTTACCATTATTATTAAAGGTCATTGGCCAAATATTTGTCTGACTAACAAATAGATCCAAGTCATTTTTACTACATCAAAATCCCTAATAGCTAGAAGTATTCAAGAGTTTAATATCATTAGTAGAGTACTTATTTACTAATTATGCCCCTGTCAATATCTTCATTGTAAATAAAAAAATTAAAGGCCCAAGCACTGTTCCTATAGTACTCCACTTGTAACATTAGCTAGTTTGACAGGACTCCATTAATAACCACCTTTTTCTTCCTTCCATCCAACAAATATGCAATCCAGTTAACTCATCTTTCCCCAATTCCTACCAAAGTGGTTTTATTTGCATATATTCTATGATACCTTTTCAAAAGCTATTCAAAAATCCAAACCTTTTCTGTCATCCAGATAACCTAAAATTCTTGAAAAATTATAAATTAGTAAAGCAGGAGTTCCCCTTTTGAAAATCCATATTGGTTTTCTTTTATGACATATTTCATTAAATGATTTTTTTAAGCTTCTTTCATCACACGTTACAGAATTTTTCCCAATACAAAAGTAAAATTAACTCTTCAATTCTCAGACACACACACACTGTCTACCAGAAATAAAAGAGAGACTCACGTGTCTGATCTTTAACTTCTTTTAAAACCCTTAGAAAACTGTCTGGTCCTGGTACTTTATCTGTTTTAAATCTCAGTTTTTGTTACTTATTACCAAGAAATATGTACATGTTTAGAATGTTAAGGAATAGTTGTTAATACCTCAGGTAAAAACTGAAAAGCGCAGCCATCTTGTAGTCTTCAACAAACATTTGCCACCGGAATTTTGTAAGGGCCCAATCCTCATTTTAACATTTTTACTTACCTTTAACATACTTTAAAAAACAGTATTTGAGTTAATTGAATAGAGTTGTTTAAACATTTGTTTGACAGCAAGTAAAGGCTTGGAATGGTTTATTCTTTCAACTCTATTCAATTAACTCAAAT